AGTTAATATTAATGGATGGAGTGATCGAGATAAAGGGGATTTGAACGGAGAATTAAGAGACTGCGATGGGGTTGCCAAAGAGGTTGAAGCCATTGAGGGGAGCAAAATTAGCAGCTTTGATGTTACTTAATAATTGTACGTAGTTTACTAAAATTAACTGATCAAAATAACCTGATAAAACAGGTCAATATATAAATATAATTCTAACTGCCAACCATAGTATTTTAACGTGTTTTAGTAGAGATGATCAAAAAATCCTGCCGGGTCGGGCCTTAACATGATACGTCGTGCCCAAACCCGCAAAAAGTAGTGGGCTTTTCAGGCTTTTTCGGGCTTTTAACTAAAAATGCGTTTTTAGGCTTGCCCAAACCCGCCCTATTTTCAAGTCGGGCCGATGTTGATCACCTCTATATTTTAGCAGGTAATTTTAACATTTAGAGCAAATTTAAGCAGCTAAGTGTAAAAGATGGGATTATATTGATGAGTTAGATAAAAAGTTGGACCAATACAATAAGATCATTAAAAGAACAAGTTAGGCCCTGTTCTTTTGAGCTTTTAGGCAGAGCAGAGCAGATTTCAGCAGAATAAAGTAGATTTTAGCAGAGCAGAGCAGGTGCCAGCAGAGCAGATTGAGTCACCTGAGCATGGCTCAACAGAGCAGAACAGAGCAGCTCTAAAGAACAGGGCCTTACTGGTGTTATTTTTTTTCTTTAATTTATAGTTGAAGTATTTGACTTAATTAATAGTTATGCATGATTTTTAATTTAACAATTATGGACCTAATGGTGTTTGATCATTACTTATGTTTATTTTAGTCAATTGGTTGTGATTTTCAGGTAAATAGTTGTGATTTCAGTTTAATAATTATTGTATTTGTATAGATCCGTTGATAGTTATGAATTTTAGGCTAATAGTTATGATTTTAGGATTATTAGGTTTCTTTTTTGTTTACTAATTATAATTTAATATAATAGATAAGGTATTCGAATTATTAGTTATGATTTTTTTAGGCTAATAGTTATAGTTGGCTATTAGTTATGGTTTGCGATTGTCTTTAATTAGTTGTGATATGTTCGGGTAAATAGTTATGGGCGGGTTTGAATTAATAGTTTGAGTATTTTTTAGCTATTAGTTATATTTTTTTTGGTTATTAGGTATATTTTGAAGTTAATAGCTATAATTATTAATTAGTAGATGGTTATGGTTTTTTTTGGTTATTGGTAATGGTTTATATTAATTATAATTTTGAGTAAACTGTTGTGATATAAGTCATGATTATGGTTACTAGTTATTGCGTGCATCTTGGTAAATCCTTAAAATTGAAGATTTTTAGGTTAATAATTATGATTTTTGAGTTAAATTGTTACAAATTATAAGTTATTGGCTGATGTCTTTAAGCAGTTAGTTGCACTGTGATCTGACAAGGGACAAATCACCTGACACAAAAATCAAAATCTAGAGTGGTAGGTAACTCCAACTCGGGAAATGATTTTGACACACCATAAATTGAGGTCTTGTTTGGTTGACAAACAAATTTATGGGAATTTTAATTTTCTAGAAAATGAATTTATACATGCTTGTTTGGTTGACAATAATGTAGGAATTGGGACTTTCTAGGAAGTTCCACTTCCCACAAAATGGAGGAATTAACTTACCTAATCCCCCTTAGGTAAGTGGAACTTCCCATGGGAAGTGGAAATTCCTACATTCAACCAAACAATTTTTGAAAATTCCTAGGAATTACAATTTCATAGGAATTGAAATTTCATGAGAATTTCTACTTCCTACATCCAACCAAACAAGGCTTGATTTTGGCACACCCCTATGTGATAGCACAGTTTTTTATGCTGCTCTCACATGGAGGTGTGCCAACATCAATAAAGGGTGTGCCAAAATCAATTTCCCTCCAATTCCTTTCTCTTATTCTTATTTCTCTCTCCTTCCTCTCTTTCTCTTTCTTAGTCTCTTCTATGATTATAATTTTATGTCATATTTCCAATAAAAATGAATTTTATTATGTCATAAATGTTCGACTTATGTAATTAAAACCATCGTTATCCTAAATTTTCCTTTTCAATCCATTAATTAAAGTATTTCAAACTTCATATTCCCACTGTATTAAAATGCCCTAAGATTTGTGTATGTTTGAATTTTGAATTGTTAATTTCCAAATCCTTGTTTTTCATTTGTTTCTTCATTAGTAGTTAATTATTAATGAATATAGGGGCACATTTTATTAGCAACTAAGTTTTTTGCAACCATTTATGATTTATTAAAAATATCAAGATTTATTAGAACAAAAACGACATGCAAGTAGACAAGTTACAATCAATAGGTCAAAGTTTCAATTTGATTAATTTCCATTATGATATGAATTTCCCTATCTCTTTCTTCTCTTCGTGACAAATTTCATTTTTTACAAATTAAACCTGAATTTTTATTACACAAATTACAATTACTCTTCAATAACAAAATGATTTAGCCCCAGATTAATAAACCTTAATGAAAAAAAAAAAGTTTGGCTTTCGGATTATTCAGGCTTGTGTATGTAATTCAAAAGCCAAAGTTTTTTTTAGTCTTATTTTCTTGATCAAGGGAATGGGTGTTAGGGTTTGGATTAGGAATTCTGTATACTCTTTAAGCATCGGTTTGTATCCATAATGAGAATCAGATTGAAATAAATGTTAATAAGGTGAATATTATCATGATGGCGAGTTGAAATGGAGAGACCGTGGTAGAGAACTTCTAAACGAAAAAGTGAAAAAAGAGGAGAAAGAAAAAATGGAGGTTAGAGGTTAGGCTTAAAAAAAAAAAAAAAAAAAAAAAAAAAAGCTAAGTCACCAATTGTCATGTACTGTAGGACTTTTTTTTAATAATTTATTTTTTTATTTTATTTTGATAAATTTCCATATACCACATAGGATTTTGACCTATTATAGCAAGTAGCTTTTCATTTGTATCCAACTTAACAAGGTTGGATTAATGTTGACAATTTTTTCCTTTAATTAATAGCTAGTATATAGTATTCAGTTAAATGTTTATGATTTTTAGGTTAATAGTTATGGTGTACATGTTTGGCTATTATAGTTATAGTTGATTTTAATTAGTTGTATATTCAAGTAAATAGTTATGATTTGATTTATATTAATATTGATAAAGGTATTTAATTTGCATGTTTAAACTAAATTTGGTTATAATTTTCGCGGAAATAGTTATAATTTTGAATATACATTTGTTAAAGTATTAGTTATGATATGATTTTCATATTATGGTTTAATAGTTATTGTATTTGAGTAATTAGTTATGAACTTTAGACTAATATATTTTTACTGTTTGTGGGTCACTATGACAAGTTGGACAGGTTTTTGGAGTTAACACCATTAACTCACTGTTTGCTACTATTCATCATCATCTTCCTCCCACCTTCTTCTTCTTATGTTCATCTTCTACCTCTTGTTCATATTTTTTCTTCCTACCCAACTTAATCTTCTTCCTCCAATCTCTGCCCACTTTCACCTTCTTTTGCTTTCAAGTTTATTCGACTTCGAAGCCGGCGAAATTAAACGAAAACCCTAATAACAAAGGGAGTTAACCCTAAAGGGTAGCTGAGTTTTTCTTCCTCCATTGAATTTGATTTCGCATCATCATTTCCGACAGCTTCGTCCCTGAAATTAAACGAAAAACCAAATAACAAAGTGAAAATAACGGGCATGGTTAACCTTAAAGGGTAGGTAAGCTTTTCTTCCTCCATTGATTTCGACTTGTTCGATGTCATAGTGCAAAGGTGTATTTTCACCATTGAAATTGAAGGTTGAAGGAGGAGAGAGAAATCAGAAAATATCAAAAGGTTGAAGGAGGAGAGAAAAAAAACAACAGTTAACCTTACATATACACCCTTGATAAACAATAATTCTTGTTTATATCAAGGTTATAAACTTATATTTTCTCAATAACTATGGTGTTTGCTTGTAAATTATGATTTATTTTTAACTGGTTGTTATTTTTGCGTTAATAGTTATGATTTTGATTTAATAGTTATAATTATTATTATCAATTAAATTATTTTTATTGAATTTAAATTATTTTTACTGAATTGAAATTGTTTTTACTCAATATTAATATTTTTGTAAGGAAGAGAAGAGAGCCTAAATTGTAGTATTATTAAATATGATTTGGCTTCAAAAAAAAAAAAAAGATTTTGGCTTAATAGTTATTTCTTGTGGTTAAATAGTTATGTTTTTTTTTAATTAAGTTAATAGTTACAAATTACAATTATGAGTTTTTTTTTATTATTTTATATATATATATATATATATATATATATATATATATATATATATATATGAGAAATGAAAATATGAGAAACCCAATTAAAAACTCCCACATGTTCCTTATAAAGTACAAAGTACATAAGAAAGGAATATTTACTTTTTAAAAATTAGGAAGTGGAACAAGTGACAACTTTTAAGTGGTTTTTTCATTTTCTCATTCTCATTATATATATATATATATATATATATATATATATATATATATATATATATATATATATATATATATATATATATATATATATATATATTTCAGGCAATTTGGTAATTGGTATGTTCTCTTACAAAAGTTACTGACGACTAATCATGATTTTTAAGTTAGTAGTAAGGAAAAGAAATCAATGCCGCAAAACTTGTTACAAAATCAAGAAATGTTGACAAAGTTTTGACATAAATTAGATGCAAGCTGCATTAATTATTGTATAGATGCAAGCTGCATTAATTATTGTATAAATGCAACCATTAACTATTGATTACCAATTTAACTGTTTCCTCAAAATATTTGTTGGTGTTTTTATGAACGATTGGAAGTATGCATACTTGATAGACTATGAATACAGCGACGGTACCTCGTTGGTGGGACTTCCTTGACCACCAATTAAACGAGATGGGGTTACTAGGAGGGTGTTGGCAATGACAGCGACGTTGTTCACGAGTTTATGGTGGAGATGGAGGGACAATGCATCGTTTGTGGTGGCAGTGGAAACACGAGGTTGAATTGGTGGTGGGAGAGTTAAGAGAGTTTGATGACACCATGACAAAGGAAGTTAGGAAAGGAGGGAGGTAAATTGGATATTTATGGGACATGTTTGGTAAAGAATAAGAGTGGTATTTGTATTTAGAAAGGATCAACTCTACCAAAAACTTAAATTGATGGTTGAAGCTCAAGATTGGTTTCTATACTCTATCACACCCCTTCACATGAGATTGTAAGAGCCTTTTTTATGTAGCATGAGCCTCCTCATATCCGGAGCGAAATATTTTACTTGATTGTGTGTGTAGATGAGATTTGAACCTGTGATAATCTTTGTATCACATTGCAGCTGATACCCTGTATGTTAAAGGACCAACTCAACCAAAAAGTTAAACTGATGGTTGAAGCCTAGAATTGGTTTATCTACTACTATGTATATATTTAGTAAACATATTTCACTATTTAGTTTAGTGGATAGATGTATGCAAGGTATCTTAGTTGGTTAATATAGGAGTCCATTAAAAATCTAAGATATAATTTCATCTAAAAGACATTATCCTTTATGACTTTCTTTATAGACAATAAAACGATAGATAATATCGGAAAGTAAATACAGCTTTAATACAATATAAAAAGTAGATTTTCAAAATAAATTTCTAATTTTTTTTTTTTTCTTAATTTTTGGCACTACAAAGACACTACTCGAACTTAGGAGGATCTTATAAGACAATACAAGAATGCCGTAGTTTAAACTAATCGGGCAATACAACAATACAATAATGCCGTAGTTTGGTGGATTGACAAGTACATATATATAATATCGAAAAGCTAATCGGGCTATAGATTACCTAGGAATATTAGGATTCACCAACTCAAGAATTTGGGTTTTTCTTAATCAATTGTAAGATTTAAAGGATATGAATTTTATTGGAGGAATTTAATGACGAAGCTTGGCCCAAGACAACTTGAGTGGTACCAAAACCTAATTACTTAAGTGAAATTTTTTTATTTTTTTTATTTACGTTTTGTAAATATTTAACTTTTGAATGTATTTTAATTTGTTTGCAGTCTATTCCATTGGGGCTTGTCCCCCATTTCCACAAAACCAATTTATGCTACAATTATTGATGATATGGACATTCATCCATACGCTTTATTTCATCACAACTATCAATTTTAACTTAAACGTTTGAACACTCTATTTATAGCCTCAAACTTTGTACATTTAAATCATCTTTATAATAAGCTAGCACTCCTTTTCTTTTTGTTCCAACAACGAAAGCCTTGAGTTGTTTAAGCCTTCTCGATCTTAAATAAGGTGCTATTTTCTCCCCTTCTCTCTTTGTTTCTTTCTTAAATTATTTCTTGTTATTTATATTATGAGGGTGTTAGGCTATATTCAATTCAACTTGTTTAAGCATTCGTGGTTGGTATTATTATTACTAATATTGTCGAATAATATGATTATTGTTGTTGATGGTGATGTTGATGAAAAAAGTGCATATATTAGAGCTATGTATAAGTATTAAATGAATTTCTTTAAATGGTATAACTAAATCTAAGACTTCATCACAAAAAAAATCAAACACGCATGGCCTCGATGCAATTAATGTTTATTTATCTTAATATTCTTTTTTTTACCTTCTTATATGTAGTCTTACGACACGTTTAGTAAGCAGTCATAGATTATAAAAATGATAAAAGATTTGTATGTAATTTTGCTAGAAAATCCTATGGTCATTACTATGTCAATGGAACTCTGCCTATAAACTTGTGTTATCGTTCACAAGTTTTCATTACTACACAGTACCACCTCTAAAATGTTAATGGATGCTAACAACAATTTGTGAAGAAAATGGAGTATTTGGAAAGAGACTAACATATCATGAGTAATAATTAGCATAAAATCTTTTTCAAATAGATACTTATAAAATCATTATCATTACCATTAGTTAATTACCAAAAACCAAATGTGCCACTAGGGCTAGCTATGTATGTGTATAATTTTCCTTATTTAATTATTAAATAGTTTTCGTTAAGTATTATTGTTGTTGTTGATAGAGTGAATATTCGTTCCGAGTTGTTCATCATATAATGAATAAAGACGTAAATTTGGACGAACAAGCATTAATGTGAATTTCCACTATTGGAAATGTAAATAAGATTCCATGAAGTAATAACTTTCGCAAGGACAAAACATTACAGAAGCATGCGTAAATGAAGATTTACATTTTACATGCCACATAAATTCCATTTTACTAACGTACACCATGAATTTACGTACCCCTATCGTACAAATTCTTTAGCTTAGACATATCACACAAATTGATCAAACAAGATTCACTTATGATCAAATTCATGAATAATCGCTTACACTAGACCAAGTACATAGTAATTCGTATATATCGGTACCGTACCAAGATTATTTCTTTGTACATGTCTATATTTGATGGTCATTCATGCATTATCGGTTACAACAGATACATAGTACTCCGTATATTTCAGTACCGATTTTATTTCTAGGTTCATGTTTATATCTGATTATACGACTAAATTTCTCCTCATTTAAGTTAGGGATATACGGCTTATCTATGTTCAAATCTAGTTCTATAAAATTTATTGCATAATAGAAAGTCACGTTTTTCTATCTATATATGGTAATAAAATCGTATCCCAAACCAAACACCTCCTCCATTTCTTAATATTTTGCATCAATTGGCAACACATGTTTATTAATCCATCACTTTGACCATTAATATCTTTAAGTATATTTTATTAAAAATTATAAAATAATTAAAATAATAAAATTATTTATATATATTAATGGTAAGAGTATAAAAATAGTGAAAAAAATCAATTGATGTAAATATAAATAAATGAAAAATGTATGAAGAAATTGAATTCCGTGCCACCAATTTATTCCCATCCATAAAATAGACTGTATATAATTGCTGCGGCATTTAAAGACAAAGATCCGCATTGAATTTACACTGTACTAATCCATTAAATACTTTGTTTCTCCAGCTTTTGGCGGCAGTTGTGAGCAGAAGAATTAAGAAAAAATTAACAAAAATGGCAATGAGTTTATATTCTCTCCCACAAATTAGCACTCACCATGTTAAAGCTCCAAAGATTTGCATGGCGTTAACCCTCAACAATGCCCCTCCTAAGTGAGTACTCTTTATCCTACGTACTTATAATAATGTGATTAACAAGGTTTCATGCAGACTATACTACTCTATCTATCTCCGATCATCATTTTCGGAGGAAGACCGGCGGTGTTATATATTCACACCCTCGTCGGATTCTCCTTTGCATGTGCTATAGATAAAAACATAGGCTATGTTTAGTTCAGCTGATCTTATTAAGCAAATATGCACTTTATTTTATAACACAATCAGATCAGATCTAATTTTTTAAGTTGGGTTTACCTATTGCTAAATAACTTTCTCCTATAGCAAAATTATATTAATGAAATATTCATTAATTAAGACAAATCGATCTAAGGAACATATATTATTAAATATATTATTGATCAAATATATGGAGTAAAAACTGTTACAAAAAAAATGAAGATTAATACGTTAAATTCATCTTGATATATAATTTCAAAGTATTAAACATACATCACCTGATCGAACGTTTGTAGTTAGGTAGCTAAGAGACATAACTTGTTAGTGAAAGAGACATAGTTTATTAGTGAGAACGATACTTAAGCGTTATGGGTATGTATGCACATCGATTTTTGTTATACGTTTGATAACAACTTGTTAGTGAAAGAGACATAGTTTATAATTGAGAACGATACTTAAGCCTTATGGGTCTGTATATACATCAATTTTTTTAATTAAAGCCAATGATTAATTATTATATGTATGATAGTCATGTAAGATATCCATATATAGAAAAGGTCACATTAAGCTATTTATATCAAGTATGATAGTCATAGATACCCAAAAGAAAAGGTCACATTAAGCTATTTATATTAATTAAAGACATTTGGCAGATTACGAAAGTCGTTATATTGATGTGATATATGTATCTCGGTATTAATATACACATCGTTTTTTGTAATAATATATACAATATATCCTTTTCCATAGGACCATATAACAACATGCCACTATTAAGTTGACTATTATACTACATCCCCAAATATAACCTTGCTATATATCATAAATAATGCATGATGTCTTAAATTGGCTACATACCTTATCATTGTATGATTCGTATGTATCTAGTAGGTACATCTATATCAATCCAATCTAGTCATTGCATTGGTTGACTCAAATCCTTTATTTCTTACTACCTCACATAATTAAGTAACTTTATTTAGAGGTTTTTTAATTATTAAATTGCATGATGTGAAAAACAAAAATTTTTCTATAATTATTTTATAGCATATGGATTGTGTTGAACGTAGCACTAATAGCTTAATACAAGTGTTTTTATACATCAACTAAAATTATACTCCACTTCCCTTAAAGTTTCGTCATTTTACTAGATTTGTTTTTTCGATTCCATGGTATTTAATTTGAACTTTTAATCTTTTATATTTTTAAGATATTTAACTAAGTCGTTCGGTTCACTAAGTTGGAATGGATTGGTATGGATTCTCATACTTGGGTGGTGTGGATTCTATATCTCATACCAATTTAAAGTTATTTGGTTTAATCATGAAATGATTTCTCATACTTGATTAATAGTATGGATTATGAATCTTTAGGGGGTAAGTGGGTATGAGATTTTAAGGGAATGAGGTGGAGTTAGAATCCCCCAGGTATGAGATTTCATCCTTTAATAGCCCAACCAAACAAATAAAACCATGGAATGGATTCTAAATTGAGACCTTGATGATATGGACCGGAGTAGGTACAATATTAAATGAATCTAACATGAATTCCAATATAATAATAAAATGTTACCCTAATGCTATAATTTGATTTACAAATAGCCATTTTTTTATACACTTTGTAATTTGTAAACAATTTTATGTACTTGTATTATTTTCACATATACTCATACATTTTTCCTTATTATTGTAGAGTAACAATAAAACCAAGTCCGAAGAAACCTTTAAGCAACGCTAAGCGCGAGAAGCCTAATGATCGTGTTACACATTCAATGTCACCCGAAAAAATTGAGATTTTCGATTCATTGGAAGGATGGGCAAGAGATAACATCTTGAAGTACTTAAAACCTGTTGAAAAATGTTGGCAACCTAAGGATTTTCTTCCTGATCCAACTTCGGAAGAATTTTATGATCAAATCACAGAACTTCGAGAGAGGGCTAGAGAGGTTCCAGACGATTTCTACGTTGTTTTGGTTGGTCATATGATCACCGAAGAATCTCTTCCGGCTTACCAGACGGCGCTTAACACAATGGATGGGGTGAGGGATGAAACGGGTGCGAGTTCGACTTCATGGGCTACATGGTCTAGGGCATGGAGTGCTGAAGAGAATAGACATGGTGATCTTCTTAGCAAGTACCTTTATCTTTCTGGTCGTGTTGATATGAGAGCTATTGAGAAAACAACCCAATATATGATTGGGGCAGGAGTGGTAAGACAGATTTTTTTTTTTTTTTGTTCTCATAACTTCTTATTTTAAATTTTAATACTACCACTGTTATTTTTTAGTTGCAACAAAGGAATTTTTTTTATATCTCACAATTACCCCTTATTGCAACTAAAAATTGACGGAGGTAGCACTTCAATTCGTTTCATTTTAGTTGTTCTAATCCGGTTAGGTTACCATAATATCAGCATGACATCATTATTGCTATTAGTAATTAATACAGATAATTACTATAGAGCAATAACAGAGTAAACATGACAGCTACGAAATAATAAATGTAAAGATTTTATAATGGTTTTCTTAAAAGATAATATCCGTTTCATGTTATTTGCAACTATTTAACATAAAGTGTGAGTAAAAAATGTCTAATCATTGCAAATAATATGAAACAGATGTAATAATATTAACCGTCCATTTTCAACATTCAATCTCAACCATTTATAATTATAACTCATCAAAGTTTAATAAACTACGAAAATATATTATTATAATAGTTAATACTTCTATTATATTACTCGGAATCATTAATTTTTATATTACGAATGCAGGACCCAAAATTTGAGAACAACCCATATATGGGTTTCATATTCACAGCATTTCAAGAAAGGGCAACATTCTTCTCACACGGCAACACCGCAAGGCTAGCCAAAGAGCATGGTGATATCAATCTTGCTAAGGTATGTGGCCTTATCGCGGCCGATGAGAAACGCCACGAAACTGCCTACACCAAGATATCTCAAAAACTCTTCGAGGTTGACCCCGATACAACCGTTATAGCATTCGCTAACATGATCAGGAAGCGAATCTCTATGCCGGGCCACCTTATGCACGATGGCCGTGACTTCAACTTATTTAGTCATTTTACAGCTGTTGCTGCTCGGCTTGGGGTGTACACGGTCACCAATTATGCCGAGGTTATGGAGCATTTGGTGAATTATTGGAAGGTTGATCAACTCACCGGGCTTTCGGCCGAAGGCCGAAAAGCTCAAGAGTATGTATGTACATTGCCTCATAGAATAAGAAGTATTGAAGAGAGAGTTCGAGATAAGGAAAAAGAAGTGCCTTCTGTTCCTATAAGTTGGGTTTTTGATAGAAGCATCAAACTTTGAGCAACTTATTAACTTTGGTACGATGGGAAGTTTGTGTTGTACCAGCTGTCATTTATAACGGTTGTTTGTGAAAATTTCTGAATTAAAGGTAAGACTACGACTTAAAATTATACAAAAGCTAAGGGACATTTTATTTTATTTTATGGTTTTTTACTTAATAGAGTGGTTGCAACCAATCAAGTAATTGTATTGGTTGCTTTGTTTATGTACTTGTTTTCAATTATATTACGGTTGATGTATTATTAATTAGAGTTAACATGGTCGTTTCATTGTAATAGTACACTAGTACATAATTGAATAACATGAAGACGTGTGTAATTTTTTTTTATTTGAAGTTTGATATACAAATTTGTAATAGTGAATGAACTTTGGGGTGTATGTTTAATGAAAAGTTATTATTTAGTGGAGTTATTCGACTCATTTATCTCATCACCTTACTTTATATCTCATCTTATATTCAATCATATTGGTTGCTTAATTTTGGGACCAAGTAAAATAGAGTAAGTCAAGGTTGAACTCTCAAGGAAAGAACTGCTTAGGCTAATATGTGGTGTCCAACTGTAGTTACTAATACAAGTCCATAAATTAACAAAGGAGGAATGATGTTAAGATTGAACCTATGTTGCACATACTCAGATTTGGGTGTCGTGTCCGATACAAAGTCAGATTAAGATTTTATAAAATTTTATATAAGGTCACTATATATTTAGGTGTCATATCGTGTCGATAAACAAGATGTCGAAGTAACATATGTAGGTTGATCATTACGGAAATTAACAACAAATTAAAGTACATCCAAATTTATGCTAGTAGCCATACCACACAATTTTAAGTACATGATAGTATCTAAAAGGTTGTGTAACTCTGATTAAAAAAATAAATAAATAAATAAATAAAAGAACTTAAAGCCTGACTTCTCTATCATAAACCCAACTTAAACGAAGGGAAGGTGCTTGTTTTGCCCTGTCTTGAGCCTTTTCTTCGATAATTTTGATCCTCTGGGGTAAACCACATACAAATTCCTGAGCTTTTCGTCCTTCAGGCGAAAGCCCGGTGAGCTTCTCAACCTGCCAATAACCCACCAAATGCTCCATAACATCAGCATAATCCCTGGCAGAGTAAACTCCAAGCCGAGCAGCAATAGCAGCAAAATGATCAAACAAGTTGTAATCGCGACCATCATACATGAGATGGGCTGGCACAGAGATCTTCTTCCTCATCATATCAGCAAAAGCGAGGATGGTTGTATCAGGATCGATTTCAAACAGTTTCTGCACTATTTTGCTGTAAGCATTTTCGTGGCATTTTTCATCAGCAGCAATAAGGCCACAAATTTGTGCTAGTTTCAGATCACCATGTTGTTTGGCTAGCCTTGCTGCATTGCCGTGTGAAATGAATGTTGCCCTTTCTTGAAACGATGTGTATATGAATCCCAAATATGGATTCTTTTCAATTTTCGGATCTTGCAATACAAAGCACGTAAGTGACAGAAGAAAGCTCGCAAAAGCAAAGCAAAGCAACGAATTCTACCTACCCACTCAATACAACTCTTATTAAAGTGAAAATATTAAATACAACAATATTTAATTAGGGACGGAGGGAGTAGTTACAATTGTATTAACACTCCAAAGACTTCACTATATCAACAAAGGAATCTAAGAAAGTATTACAATAAATATATATATTGGTTGTCAAAGTTGTGCATTAGCAAGTGTGTTAAATCAAAGTTTAAGTGGATTCAAATGACAGGGTAATTGAGGATTGATAGAGTGTACCATGTTAATGGACCAGTTCAACCAAAAACTAAGCTGATTTAAAGCTCAAAATCGGTTTATATACTCTATCAAGGATAGCATTACAAGAAAAAAGTTGATCACTCTTAACATTCCTGAGCCAATCAAATACTGAATCGTCTTCTCAACACGACCGGATAGATACAAATACTTGTTAAGAAGATCGCCATGTCTATTTCTTCAGCAGTCCAAGCTCTAGTCCAAGTTGCCCATGAAGTCGGACTAGCCCCGGTTTCATCTCTCACTCAATCAAAAGTATTAAGCATAGTTTGGTAAGTAGGAAGTGCTTCTTCAGTAATTATATCTCCAACCAAAACAACAAAATAATCATCTGGAACCTCCTTCGCCATCCCCTGCATCTCTTTGATTTGATCGTTAAAGCCGTCTGAATTCGGATCAGGAAGAAAATCTTGAGGCTGCCAACATTTTTCAATATGCTTCAGATACACCAAAATCTTCTCTGCTGCCCAACTTTCCAAGGATTCGAAAATCTCGATTTTTTCGGGTGGCATAGAATGTGTTACTTGATAATGCATTATGCATTATGCCACATTGGGACTGTAACGCTTCTTTAGATTTTCAGTTCTTCTAGAACTCTAAGAATAACATACATACAGTGCAAATATAAGAGAACAATTAATGCTAGCTTAATTACATACATATATGCATGATCACATTGTTAGTTATATATAACTCGTATGTTTTTCGTTTTTTTTTTTTTACACAACTCATATAACTATATAAATAGGGCTACGTTCATCTTATACTTTAACACTATAGCACTAATGAGATAACCCCTATGACACTAACCAAGTAACCCCTATATAGCACTGAACGAGTAACCTTTATAGTTTTAACAAAGTAACCCCATAATAGCTGGTCACATTGTGTAGCCACCCACATATAAGAGTAAGGCCCTATTTTTTTTGAGTTTCTGAGTAGAGTAGAGAACATCAGATTTCAGCAGAGTAGAACAAGTGTCAACAGATTATTAATACTCAGTAGAGCTGATTTTAACAGAGTAGAGTAGAGCAGGTCAGACAGGGCCGTCTTGGGAGATGAAGAGGCCCTGTGCTAAGTAGAAAATTTGGGCCCCTATTGTAACAAATGTCATTCTCATCTAGTCATTTTAAATACAATGATAATTACAATAGTAGAATAACCAACAAGGAATAATATCAAAAGTAGAGCATCAGAAGGAAAACACTTATAACCTGGATTTTAATTATGGATTGGAGAATCACCAACGACTAATCAAAGAACTTGTTTGCTTCCATTAGTATATTTTTCCCCTTATGCAAGGATTAAAACAAGTAAATGCTATACATAGCCCTTAGGGCTACATATAAGCATTAAATATACACTAAAAAATCGTATAAATTTAGAAATCATAAAAACTTAAAACAAATTTATTGCGTGAGAAATAGCAGGAATAAAGAGATTAATTAAAATACTCGTACAAAATTACTACGAGTGGGTTATTTATGCCTATTCGACTCTGTATAATATCAGAAAAATTGGTTGTTTTAAACACCATTATTTTGGATAGATTGAAATGTATAGTTTGAAAGACATAGATTATTGGATAGTTATTTCTTACTTGCTAGCTGAAAAGAAGAATCTACGGGCCAGAAAGATGTGAATCACAATTAAGAGAATTAATTGTATTTGGGGAAAGCAATTAAATCCATGAGAATTAGTACTGCAGCCGGGATTTATGGGAAAACTAACCCCCTCCCCCCCCCCCCCCTTTTAAGATTCAGTGATTTTTTTGGGCCCCAAAATATTGGGAACCCTGTTGTGAGGCTCAGAGAGAACCGCCCAATAGACGGGCCTGGCCAGACCACAACAAACCAAAGGAACATGGCCTTAGTTACTACATCAAATCAACTTCTTATATTTGAAATATTTTTTATATATTATATATTTAATATCATTTTAATATAATATATATCCCATGCATTTTGCACAGATACACTCTAGTTTGACTAATTTGATAGAGAGAGAATTCCTTTGATTGTTATTTTGGGATTTTTCAAATTATTATTAACAATTTTAAAAAATTGAAACTAATAATTCCACCTTTGCCTCATCTTCTCAAAATAATCCCACATTTGCGTATTCTCAAAATAATCTCACCTTGCCACCCCATATTCTCAAAACAAGCGTTTTAGTGGTTTGTGAAATTGGCAACCTGCTTTAATTGGTTTTTTTTTTTAATAATTTTTAAAAAATAAAGGAATAAACAAAACAAAAACAAAGAAACCCTACTTCTTCTTCCTTCCCCTGCCGGAGCCCTAACCCTCGCCGGACCAGCCGCTAGCCGACCAGCTGGACCCATCCACCCACCGGATCGGAACAGCCGGACCAACCAATTGTCGGAACAACCGGACCCAGCCACCCCTTCCTCGATTTCCTCCCCTTCTACAATTCTAACCACCATTATCACCTCCGCCACCACCCTAACAAGCCCATAGTGCAATAAAAAGCCACCAAATACACACCACTTTAAAACTCAGATTGACTAATTAAGCACAATTGCCCACATTAAACTCAACTTGACCCATCATCATCTCCTCCTGCACTTCACCAAAATTGTCAGATCAACCTCTTCTATTTCCTTTGATGATAATTGGCAGACATTCTATGGTGAAACAAACAATTTTTACTCTTTCCCTTGTTTTAGTTCTTTAATTACTTGTTCTTCAACACCTTCTTTCTCTCTCCTCTCACCCCCCAATTCTTCCATTAATACTCCTTCGTTCTCGCTTTTCAACAATAATGGTGATAATTCGACGAAGAAGGTGAAGACTTACATGTATGATTGGCCTATTCAGTTCAATTATGGTGTTATCGAAAGTTATACGATGGCAAGGGGTGGGACCAAATCGCCTGTTTAAGATGTTTCGGATTTCGGAGCTTAAGACTAAATACAATTTGAACAAAGAATGTTGCATTGAAGAGCAAGGTTTTAAGCAATTGTTAATAGGTTTTAAACAATTGTTGATAGTAAAACAAAAAAAAAAAAAAAAAAAAAAAAAAAAAAAAAAAAAAAAGTAAAATTACAAGTGTTTAGAGAGCCATAAGAACGAGTGATGAAAATCGATACCAAAATCTACTGGAACCGAGAGGAGAACTCTAACCATGAAGTATAGAAAATGGTAATTATCAAATTTTCCCCAAAATATGAAGACATTTATCGTCTTAGCGAGGCATCTTTGAAATTACCCACAATACCCTTTATGATACACTAATTCTAAAAAATGCATTGGTGTAAGATAATGGAATGTCAAATTTTCAATAATAAAGAATAATTTGTCTTTAGAATTTGGTTACTTGTTCGATTAACTTCATTTAAGTCAATCACTCAATCTTAATAGTAACTAGAATGAATGATTAATATCATCAAACAGATGTATATATTAATAAGCCCCAATTAACGTGCACTGTTAATCAGGAATGGCGAGTAAACCACATGTCCTCATCATTCTCAAGAGAGTCGAACAGAACAAATGAATACGAGTGATGGAGTGAATATCATACATAGGTTATAAAAAAAAATCATACAAACGAAAGATACGGTGTGAATAAAAACTACCGAATATAAACTAAATATCATACATAACTAATAAATATCATAAATAAACTAAGCGTTATCACCATCTCTGGTCTCTAAATGCCTACATCAGCTATAACTGAATTAAGTATAACTAATCACATACACTTGCTTTGACACATTTCCATAATATAACACACGAGTATATTAATTGCACAATATGTAATACAAGAAAATTTACAATGAAAAATACCAAAAAGGATTTTCATTTTAGAATTGATATAGATTTGTGTGAAATAAATTACTAAGTAGAAATAATTTTTTTTTTTTTTTTTTGACACAAAAGTACAAAAAAAATTATTGTCACATCCATGAGCATATAGGATTTCTTTATAAGAAAAAAAAATAAAAAGAAGTTGCTTCTA